CGATCAGTCGGTCTCCACGGGGGTTGTGTCGTCGCAAGCCGTTCTCCAGACATGAGGACGAAAGTGAGAGAGATCTTCTCCATCTCCATCTCATTCCCCTCAATTACTCTCTCGCCTTTGTCCACCTCCAGATCATCATCATCATCATCATCATCTTGGTCATAATCTTCACCATCATAAACTTCATCATCATCATCATCATCACCAAGCAGTTACTCTCGCCTTTCGCCAACTCCCCGCCTTTCTCCATCATCATCATCATCATCATCGTCATCATCACCAAGATCGTGTCCAGATTCATTCCCATCAGTTGACTCACTCTCGCCTCTCTCCATGTCTTCGCCTTCCACGAATGGACACGACTGTCATCATCGTTGCGATCCCCCTTCTCTGCGATCTGCTTGTTTCCTATTATAGTACTAATAATAACAGCCACCTTTCCCTTCCTCCACTTGCGCACTCCCGCCGCGCTCTTTTCTTCCTCCTGCTCATCGTTTTTGCTTGTCTTCTTCTTCTCCTTCTTCCTCTTCTTTTTCTTTCTGCACCAGCTGTAGTCCGCCATCTCCAACCTGCTTCCATCGCCGCGTCTCTGCCTATCAGTACCTACCGTCGAAGGGGTGGGCCTGCGAACATTCCCAGGGGGATGCCCCCACCCGGCGCGGCCAACATAGGCATGGAGAGGCCCTGCAGCGCGCCATGCTGAAGGCGGATCATCTCTCGCATTCCCTGGGAGTGGAGGCCGACGGCCATGCTCCCCAGGTGGTGCTGCGGGCCCTGCTGCTGCTGCTGCTGCTGGTGCTGTTGCTGCTGCTGCTGCTGCTGCTGCTGCGCGGCCGCCGCCGCCGCCGCATGCTGAGCGGCGACCTGCTGCGCCGCCGCTTGCTGCGCCGCCGCTTGCTGCTGCGCCGCCGCCTGCTGCTGCGCGGACTGCTGCGACGCCGCGGCCGCCGCCGCCGCCGCCGCCTGCTGCTGCTGCTGCGCCGAGTGCTGCACGTGGTGGTGATGAGCGGACGCGCCCCCCTGCGCAACCGACAGCCCGGCGGCGACGGCCGCCGCAGCCGCCACCGCGCTGCTCACCTGGCTACACGGCGACGAGCACGCGGAAGGCGGCGGCGGCATCCCCATCGATTGCTGCTGCGCCGCCACCGTCGATGCCGTCACCACCATCGCGGACGCCGCCGCCACCGCCGCGGAATTCGCCGCCGCCGACTGCTCCAGCTCCGACACCTTCCGCCGCAGTATATCCAGCTCGTTCCTGTACGCATCCAGCCTCCTCGACCTCACCCTCCTCAGGCTCTCCTCCAGTTGCATCTCCAGCTGCTCCAGATTGTCCGACGACAACGCGTCCAGCTCTTCCCCACAAAACTGCCTCCTCTCCCTCTTCATCGACTCGCAGTCCTCTCTCAGCCTCCTCAGCTCCCTGTTGATGTAATCGTTGTTATCTACCCTCCTCTTCTCTCTCGTCTCCTGCGGGCAATTCATGTACCTCTCCAGCAGATCCTTCATGTTGGAGTTGGCGTACTCGAAGAGCTTCCCGCTCGGCGAGAAGATGATCACCGCGATGTCCGCGTCGCAAAGAATCGACAGCTCGTAGGCCTTCTTCAGCAGCCCGTTGCGCCGCTTGGAGAAGGTCACCTGCCGGCTGCTGGCATTATCAATGCGCTTGATTTCCACCTTCCCCCTGCCCATCTTGCCTTTCAGCGGATGGGGTAGGGGAGGGGGCTTGGGGTACCGAGGGATCTCCTCCGCGCTGCTCAGCACTGTCACCAGAGAAACAGCAGAAGCACATCGACAGAAAGATCAAGACAGTAGTTAGCGGTCAAAAAAAAAAAAAAAAAAAAAAAAAA